TTTGGGGCGACGATCGCAAGACCCACCCTCTATGGACGGTTTCCAAGAGGTTGGCGACATCATCTCCCAGCGACGCTACGACAATAGGCCAACATAGTACTTGGTACATTTCTCTTACTCTAGCCATAAGGCTGACCGTTGGCGCTGAGCGGCGGGCGGGCAGCGAGGCGATGGCGGCGTGCGGGCAGCGCTATGCTGAACGCTGGTGGGGGCGGTGCGGGCTGGTTGAGGGCGGCGGGGCGCTGGCACCTCATGGCTGCGGGGTGCTGCCTTTCTGCGAGCAGCGAGGCGCTGGCTGCTAGTGGGAAGCGAAGCGCTGGCAGCATGTGAGGGGCGGGGCGCTGGCCACTTACAGCTGGTGAGGCGCTGGCTCAGCCAGTGAATAGCCAGCGAATAGTAATAGTGTCTGACACGTGGCATAACGTAAGTTGTCGACGCAAGGGAGGCGCTGGTGCGCGGGCTTTGTGGTGAGGTGGATTGGAGAGATGACAACGCTTTACATACGCGCGGAATCCGGAGGCGCTTGGCCAGTGCCACGTCACAGGCTGACGTGACATCTGGCCTGAGGCACAAAGAAGAAAGGAGAACACTGGCGGTGGCTGCTATTTTAACATTTTCCCGGTGTCTTCTACATTAAGTACTCCATAGCTGATGCCCTTAAGAGGCTGGAGAGCTCTTGCGAGTGGGCGAATGTTGACGTTGATGGACGAAAGTGGAGTCAGCCCCAAGGAGACCGAAGTGTGGAGATCGTTTGCCCTATTTAAAGCTTCAACACAGAGCGGGATGATATTGTCAAGCTGGAGGATCATCATCAAATTTATCTGTGTTTTTTGTTCTTGTTTGTATTTCGTGCAGGTTTTTCATCAAGAGCACCAAGAGTTTCAAGATCGCCAGTTGTCGAGCACCATTATGTCATCTTCATGTGAACATCACCAGTTTTCATCATCATTAGCAGCAATATAGCTGCCACATTCATCTTCTGCGGCACATATTCACGTTCATCTTCTACGAGACTTATTCATTAATCTATTACTCAATGCTACGTTATCAACATTATTGACTTTGTCCATATAAACCCCAATATTAATTATTCAGCGCAGGGCGCCATCTTCCACAGAGCAAACTTGTGTCTGCTCTAAATCCAATTTATCATTTAGTATTCTTCATCACTATCATCTAACCAGTTGATTTCTCCTCACAGGCTTTAGAGTCAGATCTGGCGAGAAGGTAGGTGGATTAAAGGTGGGGCGAGCTCTACTCTACAAAGGAAGCGCAAGGAGGGAGGTGCCAACCTTCGAGGGAGTACAGGCAGACAAGGGGGAGTGTTCTAGTTTGGGGCTGGGGAAGATCCCAGTGGTGGCAGATTAGGGCACAGCTAGCTTGAGATAATCAGTGGGGGGAACTGATTGCTCAAGGGAGTAAAGGAAGAGGAGATGGCTTTTTCTAGCTGGGGCGGAGGGAATTTAACTGGTTGCAGATCGATTCCGCCCAGTGGGGGCAGCACAGAGAGAGGAGGAGAGGAAGAGGGGGAAAGAGGCAGGGGAGGAGAGGGGAAGTTGAATCTACATCAAGGGTCATCATCATCAATATCATCATTGAAAGCAGCAGCATCTATATCGTTAGGTTTTTCAAAAAATTCCTCTGATTGCATATTAGAATATGAGAGAAGGTAAGTGGGAAAGGTGAGGAAAACTGAAACTCTATGAGGGCATTGCAAGGTGGGAAGTGATGCTCTGTTAGGAGTGGAAATAGATGGGGGATTGTGCTAATCTGGGGCTGATAATCCAGCGGGGGCAGATTATGGCAACAGCTTGATTGGGTCATACTTTGGGGGGAATGGTAGGACCTAATGGTGAGTACGGCTGTAAGTGGGACTGTCCCAGGTTGGGGCTGAAAAAAGACTACTCATCAGGGAGGTTCATTTTAGCGGAGGCAACAAGGGGCGAGAAGGAACAGTGGAGGGAAGAGGAATAGAATCCATATCTACTGACGTCAATCATTATCATCGCCACCCTCCTCAGATACGTCATCTGTTAGGGACTCAACTAAATCAAATCCTTTATTTTTAGGTATTATTATCAATTTTGCTGATTGTCTGATTGAGTTGTGAATGTGTGCTTGCCTAGGTCGAGTTGATGCCAGAACGACGCTGACCGGTGCTGGGGCATCGCCCTGTAACCTGAACTACTAGGAGCTTGAGGTCTTGTAGAGAGATCTGGGGATTGCTGAGGGAGGAAGGCAGTCCACTAATTTGACCGACGGTAACAATCCTGCCGACGATGGTCGGAGCTGGGGCAGGTAGCGCTGCCCTGTAACTTAGCTAAATAGAGGGTGTGAGACTGGGTAAAGGTGGGATTGATACACAGCACAACATCAGATGACAATTGCTGGAATTGGTAGAAATACCTGAAATTAGGATAGGGTTCCATGTTGTAGTTCTGAGTAGAGAACATTCTGATTAGCCTTCCTGATCATTTTTCCGTATTGGCTAGTACTTAGAGTGTGACTGCTCAGATCATGATTCTGATTAGCAGAAAATCATCAGTTTTAGCATCGTCATCATATCTTGGTTACTCCGGGTAGACTGTGAGGACCCCGGCCTCAATGTTCTCAAATATCAATACAAGCCTTGGGCACTGGGCCTTATTAGGAGAAAAAAAAAAAAAAAAAAAAAAAGGCTGACCGTTGGTTGACCCGTGTGGAACTTCAGGCAACAGCGCGTGATGTTCTCACACGTTATGAACGCAAATTACAATGCAAGCCGGTACCTTCGGCTCCACATCGTACTCGCATCCGGGTTCCACCTTCGGATCGTCAGTTGCGCCCTCGACCCGGCTTGACTTCATAAGGAGGGGAGGGTGTTACATGTTGCGCCTGCACACGGGCCCATTTCAGGGGCCCGACGGTTGCTGAGGGGCCCCCAGGCCGCATGCCCATCAGACACACGCCCTGGAGGCCCACAACGGCCCCCAGGTCTCAGGTTTCGACTGCAGGTAGCATATATTTATTTACTTATTTATTTGCTGTCCTATTTTTGTTTGTGCAGACGACGTTTCGGACTTGCAGGCCCCAAGGCTCCGCCTTGGGCTGGGTACACAGGAGCGAGGCCGTTTTTAGGCCAGGTGCATTTTTGTGCCTTACTGCATCAGCAGCATGGTCTGGATGCCCGGTAGGGGCCCAGACCAAGTGGGCCGTTTGAGGCCAGCATCAGGCGCGCCCAGGCAGGCCCAGCGCTACTTATAGCTGGGTAGCGGCTGGGCATACAGACAGTTCGGGTAGCTCACTTCTTGGGCGCTACGCTGCTGGACCAGCACCGCACCGATAGCGCTCCGCTGCATTAGGATTAGCGGAGTAGGCAGGAGATAGGGCGGAGGCCATACCTGCAGCGTTCGAGTACGTACCTGGGCGCCATAGCTGGAGTTGGCTCCAGTGACCTGCAGCACAGCGTAGCTGGCGACGTCAGTACTTGGCAGCAGTTACCCGCAGGTGAGACAGTGAGGAGGACGACATCATCTTCTTCTTCTTCTATCTGTCCTCGCCCTCCACCTCTTCTTCTTCCTTCCTTCCTTCCTTCTATATATATATATAATATAGATTATGATATCTATCTAATATGTCTCTATTGTAAAATCATTATATTTTTCTAATTTATAGTATGCATTATTCCTCATAAACTCATTCAATTTATATAGAATCTTTTATCTATGATACTTGTTAATTTCTTCTTCTTCTTCTTCTTCTTCTTCTTCTTCTTCTTCTTTCACAGAGAGAGAGAGAGGGAGAGAGACTTCAGGCAGAAGTTTCACGGGCATATGCCCAGGAACTGATTCGACATTTTCTTCTGCGGCAGACATTGATTGGACACTCGGCCAGGGACTATTTTTTGGACTCCCTCGCCTCCATCTTCGTCTCGCCTCCCCCCATCTCTCGTCCGTGGTATCTCCCCCCATGTGCGTGTGCAAGGAGGGACCTTTCTTCTATGTATGCGGTCCCTCCTCTCTCTCACACGTGTGGTGTATGGTGGGGTGTTGCGTCAGTATCTGACAGGTCAGATCATATCTTGAGTCTTCCGTTGCGCTACATTGTGCTATTCCATGTGTATCTGGATGTACATTGCTTGTTGATGCTTGGCTGATGCAGCATTGTCCATACGAGTCCATTTCATCACTTTGCGGATCCTTGGCTCCCTCCGCATCGTCCGATTGGGCATGCCTCACATACACTCACACACGTCCGTGGTATCTCCCCCCATGTGCGTGTGCAAGGAGGGACCTTTCTTCTATGTATGCAGTCCCTCCTCTCTCTCACACGTGTGGTGTATGATGGGGTGTTGTGTCAGTATCTGACAGGTCAGATCATATCTTGAGTCTTCCGTTGCGCTACATTGTGCTATTCCATATGTATCTGGATGTACATTGCTTGTTGATGCTTGGCTGAAGCAGCATTGTCCATACGAGTCCATTTCATCACTTTGTGGATCCTTGGCTCCCCCCACATCACCCGATTGGGCATGCCTCACATACACTCACACACACGCCAACACCCGCACACACCGATGCTTGGCTGACGCAGCATTGTCCATACGAGTCCATTTCA